TATATGTATGTATATATATGTATGTATATATATATATGTATGTATATATATGTATGTATATATATGTATGTATATATATGTATGTATATGTATATGTATATGTATATGTATATATGTATATGTATATGTATATATATATATATATATATATATATATATATATATATATATATATATATATATATATATATATATATATATATATATATGCAGTTAAATGATATACTACCACGCTTCATCAGATTATATTTTTGTTATTTTCAAATCGAGGTCGTGTCAAATATAGTCTATGATCAATAACTTCTTCGCCGTAAACCGCGACAATAGTTGAGATATATCCAAAAACCGTCCTCTCAAATGCGCCAAAACCTTCTATCCGTCAAATTAAAATAGACCCCCTACTGCACGAACGTGATATACTGACGTATCGATGCCAGCAGTTATAATATGCAAATCGAAGAGATAACTGCAGTTGTGATTTAGCTGTCAACCTGCATGATAGGTGTTCTGAAAACTTTATACAGAACTATAAGAAAATTGATCAAAATTCGGTGAGTAAAATTACATAATAATTATGCTAGCTGTACTTCTTTTCTCAATTATTAGCCGAAAATTACTGATCTCAATAATGCTTGGATCCAACTGTGCATGAAGCTATATACAAATGTGGGAAAACCCTAAATTTCTTAAAGAGTTAGTTATATAATATGCACGTTAGTTATATAGAAATAGTTTATAAGATACTGCATGTATGTTTCGTAAGTTTAATTCTGTATCACTTGTTTAGCCTGCGTAACGGCTCTCAGAGAAAGTAGAGCCTGCCTGAAACCCCCTGCTTTGCCGTATTTACTCGTTCTCTGAGAGGACGAGAAATCTGGTTGGTTCAAAATGAAAAAAATATGAAATGAAAAAAAATATATTTATGCTAAAATTGATACAAAACGACGGATTTATTATTGAGAGGCGTTTCTTTGAGTTTTGCATTCAAAAGAACTTAAAGGCCACGATTTACGGTTGAACATTAAAGTTATTTACGAACTTAATTGGTTCACGAAGCTGTAGAGATATTGACTGTGGTGTCTTCGTTGGATTGCTGTCTGTTAGCAGCGCCTCTTTCACAACTCACGAGCGTGTTCGTTTTCATAAATTCGTCGACGACAAATAGATTTTTTCTTCATGATTTTGTAGCTAATAATTTTGCGCCAGGAGAGAATTGCTATAAATGCTTATGTCTTATGAACAGGACTTGCTCTCTGTGAAGTGATGGCTTTAAACACCTTTAATATTCTCTTATCAGCATCGCTCGAAACTTTAACATTTAAGAGGCTGTCTCTGTAAAAACCGCCCGCTCGAATTTCATTTCAAACATGATCTTCGCTAAAACTCTGGCAACTGGAAGGCTTTACCAAACATAAAATAAAAACAGTCTCGGTTTGGTTGAAAACGATTTTCCAGTCGCGCTGCAAATAACGAAATATTTTGCCCCTTCAAGGCATGTTGGGACGTCTCGAAAATTGAAAATTACGCATTTTTCATTGATCCGTAAAATATTATATTCGCGTCAACTAGCAATGAATTTTATATCATTTCACTCATGAAACTTTCTAGTTTTCTTGAAGAAGATGAATTTTTACCTAATATTAGTTGTAAAGGAAAAATTAAGCACAATGTAAACCCTACTTATGACTATAAATCAAAGAGTGGAAATGGCCTTGATTTAGATTCAATTTTTCAAACTTTGGGACCTTGTCAATCGCTCGGGCCTATTTTTCAAGGAAGTATAGTCCTTTGTTGACAAATATATGCAAAAAACCCTGTACGATTTCAGTATTTCAAAATTTATGGCCGTTTGTATCAACACACATGCGTGTATTTGCGATGAGTCGTCGTATTGTAAAATCACTCTATCTCGTGTAGATTCTAACTTAAATGCAACCATATACAGCTTACCTCGTTACTAACTCAAGTTTATTTCCTTTTTAAGTCAATTTCCAATTCCTCACATGGCCGATCCCATCATTAAACACAATAGTACATGTCCTTCTCTTCCTCTTGATCTGTCCGACCTTGGTTGTTTCAGGTTGTTTCGAAACGTTACGTTGCTCACACTTCGCATATGTAAATATCCTTTTGAAACAGAATTTGTTCGAAAATGTTATGGAGCGTGAGTCGTCATATTGTAAAATCACTCAATATCGAGACATAAATACAACAATGTACTATGAAGCAGTTTCCCTATCAAAAATAACGATAGGTGTGCAAACCTAAACGATAGGTGTGCAAGCCTAAACGATAGGTGTGCAAACCTAAACGATAGGTGTGCAAGCCTAAACGATAGGTGTGCAAGCCTAAACGATAGGTGTGAAAGCCTAAACGATAGGTGTGCAAGCCTAAACGATAGGTGTACATAGCTGCGTACCAACGTTGCACACTCGTCGATCACACATGCACACTTGACGATCACGAGCACACTTGAACACATGCACACTCGTTCTGTCGATCATAATACAATGTAGTACTTCATATAATTGTTATAAAGCGTCTTCTATGCAACCGCTGACCTTCAAAAAACACGCGTTGTGTGTGTTTTCACCATATCACTTCACTTTAGCTACTCAGTCAAGATCTGGAGATGACTGCGGAGTTGATTACAGAAAATATTATATCTATATGTTAAATGATGTAGCGCAGAAATTGAGAAGTGGTCAAGATTGGCGGTCTAACAAATCAGAAGTAGATTACATTTATTACAAACTTGATAGGTTGGAACATATGCTTTCGCTTACTGCGCAATTGGTAAATATTGACGATCGAATATACTGTAATATTTCAGCTGCGAAGTGTTTAGTAGGACATCTACTGCAGGATGAGAATGAAGAATCTGTTATTAATTTTAACATGGAAACAACACTGACCGGTAATAGAGGACGACCTAGATACATAATTAGCAAAGAACAGTTGCAGTATTTCATGGAGTACGGGTTTAAAGGACATGAAATGGCTATCATGCTTGGAGTGAGTGAGGCGACAGTCCGAAGGCGATTGCAAGACTTCGGTCTATCAAGTTCTACGAATTTCTCTTCTCTTACGGATGAACAGCTTGATACAATTGTTAGTGGCATAAAGAAAGACCTTGTGCAAAGTGGATATCGAATGATTCAAGGTATCTTACGTGATGGAAAGTTTAAGAAGAGTTGACATAGAAGGAGTGATCATGCGGTCACTGCAGCTCCAGACCATTCGTCGTAGAACATACACTGTAAGTGGGCCCAATGCACTCTGGCACCTTGACACCAATCATAAGCTTATAAGGTGTATATATATATATATATATATATATATATATATATATATATATATATATATATATATATATATATATATATATATATATATATTTATACAGCAGTTGACTTGATAATTTTTCTATATCCACCATAAATATTCTCATGAGTATTGGTATACGCAGGAATTGAATTGGGGCATTTATGTTCTAACATTTTGCCAACGAAAGAAAGACAGAAAAGAATCGGAATGTACATCGAATGTGACATACCCATGTGGTAACTGCAATGTCACCAACTTAAATTGGTAACAAATGATCAGAAAAAATCACCAAACCATACTTTTGTGATGGAAAAAAAGTCAAAACTCAGTGACCACAGACTGACTTCGAAACCCAATTTTACCAACCATTTTAAAAAGTGGAGGTCCCCTCCTATTCCCCACTCATTACACCCCTGTATTTTCCACTACTGTAAATTTAATTGCCATATTTTACAACATTCACTTTTGGCATGCCCTTACAGCTGTATGAATGTTACACCTGAATATGGGAAAATTTGCAGTAAAAATCACTGAAAAACTATCATTTCAACATGCATTGTAGGTAATGATTTAGAAAATGAACAATCCTACTGTAATTGTTATTTTTTTAATTAGATGGAAAATAGTAATATTTGGAGGTATAGATGGATATTCACGTGCAATAGTATACCTTTCCTGCCAAAACAATAACCGTGCTGATACAGCATTATGTGAATTTCAAGGTGCAGTTGAAAAATTTGGTCTTCCAAGCCGAGTAAGAACTGATAAGGGTGTCGAAAACGTGGACATCGCAAGGTATATGCTTAGTCATCCAGCAAGAGGAGAGGGTCGGGGGAGTCACATCACTGGCAAGAGCGTTCACAATCACCGCATTGAACGATTGTGGCGTGATGTATTCTATGCTTGTTTGTTCAAGTATTATTGGCTTTTCAAACATATGGAGGACACTGGAATTCTGGATGTAAACAACGATCTACATATATTTTGTCTTCACTTTGTGTTTATTCCACGAATTAGACAACACCTTTCACATTTTGCTAGTGGGTGGAACCACCATGGCTTATCTTCAGAAGGCAGAAAAACCCCTCTACAGATGTGGATAAGGGGCATGTTTGAAGGAAATGGTCACAGGGCATCTAGAGAATTTTGGGAATCTGTAAGCAAAGTTTTGGTTGGTTTATATATTTTCAACCTATAGGTGTACAGTATACAGTATGTATCAGGGCTGTAACAAATTTTGCAATTATTAGTTTATTTATTCTCATTTTTTTTTGGTGGTGTTGCAAAAAAAGATTATCCTGCATGGTTCCCAAGACACTGTACATCCAGATTGGTTATCAACTATTTGAATTTCTTTAGATGATCCATAATTAATCCACAATAAAGGCAATAATCCTTTCATGCCCAAATTAGAATGGAACCATTATTATTGTACTATGTCTAATGCCAGACAATTATACTTGTCTGTGGGGTTGAACCCATATAGATTTTAGGGTCAAATACTAACTGTACAATCTCGGTTGTAATTTATTGAGCTGCAGTGCAAGGATCTATGTATGGATGATATAATGTTGCAATACAATGCACTATATACTGTATTGCAATACATTTAGTTCCTACATATTATTTTATAGGAAGACTGGACAGCATTTGGAATTGACTGGAATGGTCCCACACCATCACCACAATGGGGTAGTTTGGGTGATAGCAGTGCTATTATTGTGCCCGAACTTGTTTTGTCATTCAGTGAAGCAACTGCAAATGCCAATTTGCAAAGTACTGCCAATCCTGTTGGAGAAACCAACAATCATGGCATAGACTTATTTGTGCAAGCTATCTCAATTGTACAACAATTGCATGCATAAATTTGTAAGAACACGAAGTAGTATTTCTAAACTTTTATTTTTTGTTTTTTATTTAAATATCAACAAATCATACACTTTGAATTTCAATAAACTTCTGTGGTTTGTTGAAATATTTCTCTAAAACAAAAACTGGGCATAATGTGTCCAGCCAATCACATATTTTACTGTCAATTTTAAGTTTTATTGTGGACTAACATGTAAATGAAGAGATTTTCTTCTCAAATTGTGCTGGATGTCATCAGTTGAGGTGCACATAATAAAATACATAACAAAATAAAACTCTTGATTAATGAATCTTATTTCTATGATGTCTATAAAACAATAACAATCTGAATTTGTAACACAACTTTCACCATGATAGTACTGATATGTTAATTATCACCAAATGCACAGCAGGCAAATTTTAGAGCAACCATCATATTTTTGGAGAATTCTTCAAAATCTTCATGTTTAATTGGTAACTTTAAAATCAAAAAACAAGTATCCGCATCAGGTAAGGCTGTGTCATCTGGAAGAAATTCTATGGATATGAGTCTCTTCAATCCCAATGGTGGAACTGACATTGTAGCAGACACAAACTTTAAAAGGAGCCTGAGTACTTCAACATTGCCACCAAGTGCAGGTATATCTTCTAAAATGAACCAGAATGATGCATTGATAAAGATATAGTAACAGTACAAATTGTGGGCACTCAGGGGCGACACAGGACGAGGTGTAGAGGTGGAACACACCCACCCCCACTCATAAGTGAGCCGGCAGATTTTTGTATTACCCAGTCAGCAAAAATTGAGTTTTTCAGTCGCGGAAACATGTGGCATATTTTTTTCGAAATACTTGGAAAATTGTATGTGTCATCGGAAAAGTTCCTGAAAAACGTGTTTTTCTTGTTACCACGAAAAGAACAATGTGGGGAGGGGGGCACCAACAAACGACTCGGCAAAAGTTGACATGACACCCTCCCCCAAAGAAGAGGGCCTAGTGCCACCTTTGTGAGCACTCTCCTCACATATTTCATGAAATGTCATTCTCATAGAAAGTTTTAGAGAGTAACAAATAATATTTTCAAACCCAATATGCTAGAGTCTGTTTATGCAATTTCTCCTGAGATGGTCAGTTTATTGCACTATTGACAAGGATTTAGAAAGAGAATGTGTTAACTAGCCTTTGACACTCTCATTAACTGCAATGAACTTCTTTAAATTATTGTATGCCAACAATTGTGCAGGTGCAGATGTTGTAATCTTTTCAAAACACGAAAGCAACTTTTCAGCAGTAAGAGTGGTCTTGGAGTTAGGAGTGTCAAACAAATCTCTACCCACGTCAGTACTGCCCATCATATCAAGTAAGCCAAAGTGATTTAACCCCTCTCTGAATCTATTTAGCGCAACAGTGCGTTTGGTGATGAGCTCCTCGGCCAGTAATTGGGTGATAAACTCTTGTTTTGTCTTCTGTGTAATTAGTTTTTCAACAGGCCATCCTGATTGATCAACCAATACACCATACGAGGGGTTATCCAATATTTGAAGAATACTCTCATCATCTGATGCATGACACAGCTGGGTTGAATTTTTAAGAAAGAATGGAAAAAGAATTTAGATTATGGGGGGGGGGGACAGTTTTATTGGTATAATTCGCATAAAAAATGTATGTCTTAAAGACACTATCCAAAATGTTTCACCAGTGGGAACTGACATTATAAGCTAAACATACCATACTTTATATTTTAATATTGAGTATTGTAGTCCTGGCAGTTTTATCAGGTATTCTGTGTAGCAATTTCCAGAATAATTGGGCAAGTGACAATATCATAATGTATATATACTGTAAACTTTGAGATAGGAGAAAATGAGTTGTATATGTAGTTCTGTTGGATAAGAACACTTACATCTTGAATTAAACCATGCAATGTCAGATTAGCAGGCGTTTTGGGATATCGTCTACATCCAAAAAACCAGCTGAGAGCTCTTTTTCCCCAGTGGCAACGTAATGGTAGACATAAGGTGCAAGCACAGGAAATGTAATGCCAGAATGTAGAATGCAATGTGCAATCATTATACCAGCCAACTGCATCAAATTAGCCTTTTCCCAACTGTGGATTGGTACTCTTCTATCTTCCTTTCCTTCGAACAATGATGAGTTAATATCTCGCAACATGTCACCAAAATATTCACATTTGAGACCTCCAGCATCAATTCCATGTTCGAATGGTCCTAAAAAAATACAGTATGAAGGTAGTTAACCTGTGTTACATGCTTCATACAGTCTGTATGTCTTGCACATCTTGTAACAGTAAATAACACATCCCTTTTCTCACCTTCAAAATTAATGCTTATAGGTCTCAATACCTTGTACTGTATGTAATTATATATATATATATATATATATATATATATATATATATATATATATATATATATATATATATATATATATATATATATATATATATATATATATATATATAGATATATATATATATATATATATACACCTTGTACTTCAATATTGAAGATACAAGGTATCTTCAATACCTTGTACTGTATGTAATTATATATATATATATATATATATATATATATATATATATATATATATATATATATATATATATATATATATATATATATATAAAAATT